CAGGAGCATCTACATCCCCCTACTATGTCTCAACTTACAGTAGAAGAGGGATTATGCGGCCGGACTCACGCCAAATCTATGATCTTATCAGTGAAGTCGAGATCTCAAAGCATGTGGCCGATCTCAACACCGCGGGGATCACTGGCTCGGTTCAACAACCAAGGCATCACTGGCTCTGTTCAACAACCAAGCATCACTCGCTCGGTTAACATACGCAATTGAATGCATATCTTATGTAATCCTCTAGCACCGCTATCAACCATGATCCGTCGTGGATCGGCGAGCGTTGACATGCACGGCTAGCTCGCTGCGCCCATCTCCTATAAATAGTGGCGAGGCACAGCTGTGGGATTCATCATCATCTCACCAGTGTCATTTCCACCCCTTGAAATCAATTTGCGTGAGATAACCAGCTGAGAACATGGCGATGAGAGGCGGCAACTGCAGCGCCAACCGCCAAGACCATTTGAATTGATGCTTGCAGTTGTGGGTCTTGTAGCCCTGCAGCAAACCCAGCGAGTACAAGCTAGCGTGTGTTGTTGTTTAGACCCGGTGGTCCCTGTGTATTATACATGCCGCGGCTCTTCTGGTACCATGTCACAGTGTTGCCCTACATGCGGTGGCTATGTCCTATGTATCAGACGGTGGATGCAAGCCCCCTTATGTCCTCATATGTATGTACAAATTTACTATTTCACATCTAGATGTGAAATAGTTATCTCACATCTAACTGCTCAACCACACGATGTAAAAAGATTTGTGCGCTCTTTGTCGTGTCGCTCCTTGTTGTTGCCGCTACCTCGCTCGATCATGCTCTGGGAAACATGTTGGGCTGTGTTCGGGTTAAGTTGCCCAGTGATGGGCTTTAGCTGGGCTATTAGTTGTCTTTTTATATGTTTTATGGGCTGTGATTTTTCTTTTGGTGATCGGAGGTGAAAACAGGAGCGGTTGGACATGCCCCTGTGCACGGCCACTCATATTTTTTTTGCTTGTTTTCGGTGCGTTGTCTGAGGGGCTGAGCTGACAGGACCGCATTTTGTCTCGTTGCTTTTGCTGGCCCGGGCCTCATGTTGCGGGTTTTTTTTGTCATTTTGTTTTGTATTAAAGTCAATGCACGGTGGAGATAATGGATAAAACGTGTGCCAACCAATAATTTTTTTTATTTTTTATGTTATTTTATTGTCCCTTTGTTTTTTACTCCCTCCGTTCCTAAATGTAAGTCTTTGGAGAGAATTTACTATGAACCACATACGGAGCAAAATGAGTGACTCTACACTTTAAAATGCATTTATATACATCTGTATGTGGTCCATAATGGAAACTCTACAAAGACTTATATTTAGGAACGGAGGGAGTAGAATTCATGAATTTTTAAAATATTATGAATTTTGTTGTTGTTGCAATTGCCAGTGCAAGTGTTGTCCATGCCCGGCAACTACATGTTTTTAACATAGATGTAAAATTTGGTCAGGAAGTGTTACAAGCGCCATCCTGACTGCACTTGCATGTTTTTAACATGATTTTATGACTTCATGATTCAGATTTGCTAATTCACATCTAGATGAGAATTACTTATCTCACATATAACTGCTAAGCCGTTTGATGAAAAAACTTAAGGATTCATGTTCTTTTGAAGCGTACGATCGCGCAAAGTTTTTTCCCGTTACGTGATTTTCCCTCCCGTTTCCTACTACGGTATGGTAGGCAGTTTTTATTTCTTTTGCGACAAGCTACTCTAGGTTGTTGTGCTCGACTCTGATGGGTTGTGGTCTTTTTCTCATGTCTTTTTATAGACTATAGTTTTTTCTGTTTCTTCTATATGGGCCGTTGTGTTCCTTTTTTTATTGTTTTAGCTGTTTTGTTTTTTGTTTATTATTTGTTTTAAATCATGAACTGTTTTATATACATGATTTTTGTCCTTTATTTATATTTTTCAAGTTTATTTTTTTAATTTATGAATTTTTTCACTTAGACATCTGTTTTCTTGAAATGTCATACAAATCTTGAGCGAGGGTTGTTCCACCGCATGGGTTTCGTGTCACACCGTCTGTGGTGACTACTTGTCGACCTTGCTCATGTGTGCGTCTTTTGTTAGGCCGTTCTCATGGCACTACCTGGGCCCGATTCAGATTGATTTCGTTAATTCTCATCTAGATAAGAATTAACAATGTCTCATCTAACTTATATATCATTAGCTATAATTGCTTCTAAGTCGTGTTGGTTGTCGTTGTGTCGTGTTTCTTGTTCGTCCCTCATGAAGCTGTGAGGCCCGATATGACATTTTTAGTCGGCCATTTTTATGTTTGTATATTGGGTTTTTTTTTGTGGAGGGGGAAAACCGTTTCAGCTGTTTCTGAATAACTTCCTTCAAAAGGACTTTTGCTTGCTCGGTGAATGTCTGGCTAGAAGATATAATTTTCTAGAAGTGAGGTTTAATATTTTTTTATATGTTTACATAACTCATCCAAAAACTTATTTACCTGTTTGACTTCTAACGAATCAGGATATCCTCTTATTTCGGTATAAATAGTAGCTATCTGCTCTTCCCTTGCCACGTGCCTTTTTATTCCCTGTTTTAAATCTTGGTTTGGTTGTGTAGTTAAAGGAGAGTTTAACTTGATCTATTTTCTTTTGGTTTTTGTAATCTCACCTAGATGAGATTTAGTGATGTCCCATTCTAGGTCTATAGCCTTCCAACTTTAATGTTTGCACAAGCTCGATTATGCGCACATGTGTCAGCTCGTTCTCTGCGGCGCTTCATCTTGTCCAGTTTTTTGTTTCATGCCGGCTTTTTATCACGTTTCTTTTCACGTGGGAACATGTATGCCGTCATTTGGGGAGCACAATCCATTCCATTTTCCTTGTTCATTTTCGCTATGTGTTTTTGTGTCCTAGAGGAGAATTTGTAGAGTCCACCCTTGACTCACAAATGAACTTGTAGTTATTCTAGTTGTAAGTTCACCCTCGACTCATATCTGGAGATGTGTTATGTTTTTCATCCCAGTTGCTAGTCTAAGTTCAACTTGCAACTGGCCTTGTAGTTTATTATTGTCCTATTTGCATGTACACCCTCGACT